TCACTTAAGGACTTGTGCTACTAAATTGAGGCCTCTAACAGCCTCGCAGACTGTTAAGACAATTTCTCAAAACAAGCCAGCAGCACCAAGGACGTTTCAACAAATCAGGTGCTACAGTGCGCCTGTTGCTGCTGAGCCGTTTTTGAGTGGGACTAGTTCGAACTATGTGGAGGAAATGTACTATGCTTGGTTGGAAAATCCCAAAAGTGTACATAAGGTAAGGAGCAGCCTCTCCACGATACAGCTTTTTATTTCTTACATGCTGGTGTGCAAATAGGAGCACTGATTTTTCAGGTAAGTACAGATGTCCTCAGAGTGGAGTCCAGCCGGAGAAAGATCCTGGAGTCATTATGAATCCATTCTGCTTTGCTAAACCGGAAAACATTTGGCTGACGGAGGACAACACCCATGAGATAGGCGACCCTGGAATGAATTTGGCAAGTTTACAGCTGCTTCCCCTGAGGAATGGTTTCCTGGCTTCAGAATGGATACAGACGAAGAGGAGCTGTGACTCATGGGTTTCCGTTGAAGAACTGCTGTTGATGATCCTGTTTGCAGTAATTGGAGTAGGCCATTTTTGGATAGAAAAGAGGCTGTAAGATCTGTTCTACCATTATGTAAATGCAAATGGCATTCAAAGTCTGGTAGCTTTGAGTCGTGGATTTATGTTTTAACTTTGGTAATATCTGATTACTTGCCAATTGTGGGTTTACTATAATCAGTAGTGGCTTGTATTGCCCAGTGGTACTTAAGGGATGACCTTGATAGTGGGATCATTGCTTTCTGCTGTGACCAAGATACATGTGATTGCTTATGCTGCAGTGAGTTCGAAACAACAGCAGCATCCTGATCTGTAAGTGACTGTGCATTCGATCCCATTGAAGTCCTAAGCCTTACTATAACATTTTTATGTTCTTGGCCTAGCTCTGTATGGGAGTTTTCAAAGTGGTAGTCCATGACAATGGAAATATAAACACTTGTAAAGAATGTACTGGGTCATGCTGACTGGCATGGAATCTGATTAGGTGCAGAATCTGGTGCTAAGTATAACTCCCCTCATTTTGCCCGTGCAATGGAAAGAGACTGGAAGTTAGGTTAGAAGATTTTTAAAGATGTATTTCTAGTTATCAAAGAGAAGATTCTGTCCAACTTGATGCATGCTGGCCTTCTGCCTCAGCGTCCGAGTGTGCAAAAGGCAGATAACATTCTGTTGGACTACCCAGCACCTGCTGGTCCTGTGATTTTATGTCAAGAGTGTTGGACTAAGGTGAATCCTGGTTTAGTTCAGCAAGGCAAGTTCATACATAACAGGATAACAGATTGCTCAAGACTTGAGAGAACCTACTGTTCATTCTTGTTTTGCTAGTTTAAAGCCTTGCTCAAGACTGTATATAGATCCCAGTTGGGCAAAAAACAGTAGGTCATGCAGAATTGAAGTTAACACAGTCTCTCTTTAGTATACTGAAGTATTTGCCATTTGCATGCCTGGTGAGAGAGCTTCTGACCTCAGTTCAATGAACTGTATGACACAGAGGCATAAATACTCATTCCTGCTAAGCCATGGCCTGTCACTAAGAGGTACTACCTGAACATTCCTGCCATGATAGCAGCAAGTCCCAATACATGTTTGTAAATACATTTAGGATATGTGAATGTTTGGCAAAACAGAATCCTAGTTTAGTTCTGTGATGCATACGGTGTCATGATATCTGGAGAAATGTTTTAGCTTGGAAGATGGCAGAGCCCTACCTCTGGGGGGATGCCCCCCTATATTTCTTAATCACACATCATGGCTTCCTATCACTATTAGATATGTGACAGCAATAACTGAAAATCCTCATGGTCATCTTCATAGATTGAAAATACTAATGTAGCTTAAAATCATCCAGGAGCAGGCAACAGCTGGATTGCTGCAGAATGGGAAATGGCAGAAAAGCAACAGCAAAGAAAACCTTTGATTGCAAAGAAAACCCCTCCTCTTGTGATAAAGACTTTGCCTAATGCTCAGACAGAGAAGGTGCCATGCAGATCTCCCTTAGCGAGTTTGGTGAATGTGGCACAACAGCCGTTTCACAGTTGCCATCTATTTTATCTCAGGAGATGGGGTATACAAATAAAAGTCTTGAGGGATAATCTTAGCACATAGGCAGGCTTGGGAAGGAGGAGGTGGCAGCTCTTCAGATATCCCTGTCCCAAACCTTCTAGCTTGGCTTCAGAGGTCAAAACCAGCACTTTGAATTTTTCTGAGGAACAAGGTGGAAGCCAGTCATAGTATATTGTGTCATGTGCTTATTAAAACATGTTCCAGTTAATAACCTAACTAATGTATTCTGACGTTTCCAAAGACCATGTCCTATGAATTTTAGAAGTCAAACCTAGATGTTACTAGAACTTGGGTGACTGAGGTAAGATCATCTCCTGTCCAGGAGGTGCTGCAGCTGGCAAACCAGCTGAACCCGGGAAAAGGCACTCCACGCTGTGGAAGCTGCTTGCTGAGTTAAAAGCAGTGCTAAATCTAGGAACGTTCCCAAGCTTTTGCTACACAATCCAGCAGTAGAAGAACTTTTAAAAACTGGCATGTTTAGAAAAATGGAGTGCCAAATGTGAACAAGTTATACAGTAGTTGAAAAGAGCAAGAGTCCAGTAGCACCTTAAAGACTAACAAAATATGTGGCAGGGGATGAGCTTTCGTGAGTCACTGCTCACTTCTTCAGATACCTGAAGAAGTGAACTGTGACTCACGAAAGCTCATCCCCTGCCACATATTTTGTCGGTCTTTAAGGTGCTCCTGGACTCTTGCTCTTTTCTACTGCTACAGACAGACTAACATGGCTACCCATCTCAAGTTATACAGTAGTTCTGCAAAAGTTTGCAGTGGCCCCCTTCTGATTTCGCTGCTCTGTCTGCAGGATGTCTCAGTGGGATCTATAGGTAGTCAGTATGCAAAACGTAAGTTTTCTGTAGAGGAGAACATGGGGATTTTGTATGATCATCAACTTTTCTCTTGTGAACAGAATTAACATGCTGGGTAAGCTAATTTCAGCCTTAACGTCATATTTTTTCATCTAATAGGGCCAAGCCTTATGTTTGGAAAATGGCAAACATGGAGTAAACCAAGCTGATGCTTGTGGAAAAATGTGGGCGAATCTGCTGATCTGAGCCAAAAACCTATTGCACAAACTTTTGAGAGAGTAAACGACACAATTTAGGGACAGTAATGCAGCAGCTGGATTTTTTAGTCTGCTTTGGTGCTAGGGGTGGTCTAGCAGAAAGTAAAGTAAGACCTGTTTACGTGGCAGTTACAAATTAAGAGCAACAAACAGTTACGGAATACAGATACTGTAACTCCTGACCTTTTAGAGATCTTTCCCATATTCCCTTTAGCTTCATTAACCTCGACTGGATAGATACATGCTAAAATAACACACTGAGATTCTCGGAAAGTAAAGTTCTCTAGAAGATTCCACATAGATTCATATGAATACATGGTTGAAAGTACCGCCTTTGAAAGCCATGAAGGTTTGTTTTGAAAGATTTATGAAATTAAATGCAGAGCTAGTTAGTATGACTGCTGTAGGAAAGCATGACTTTACTGGTGTCTCCCACAAACATGTGAAGCATACATAAACGCAGATACTTAAGATGTATGTACAATTATTTCACCCAGTGCACCACCTGGGCTTCCTGTAGTAATTTCTATGCATAGCTCTGCCGTGAATTCTTTTGTTTACTGAGATTCTGCCACCCCAAGGCAAGTGAGCAATACGGAGCAGTTTAAGGAGAGCTTGGCCACACAGTTTTCAGGAGTTATTACTCAAGGTGCAAGCTGGAATTTATGGACTGTGCATTTTAACTCCAAATACAAAGCAGCCTGCAGTTGCATTTTGTTTAGTTTTCCCAAGCTATTTTCGAGCTCACTGAACTACTTGACCGCTGTGCTTCCATGTGGCATTAAAGTTGTTCTTGTCCTTGAGCTACCTCAGACTTGGCCTTCTGCCAGACCTCCTTTCAACCTGATAAAGGAATGGTGTTGTCTTGGTAACTGTCCTGCCATAGCTAGCTCTGCCCTAAGCCAGCTGATCTAGTTAGTGTGCCAGTGCACGCCGACCTTCAAATGGTCACCTGGCTTTCACTTTTGTCTTATCTCAACCGGCTGGAGTTATTTCCGTCAGAGAAGTTCAGAAGTACTTTGTGCTGGTGCAGCTGTCCTGAGTTGTGAACTCTCAGCAGCTCAAAGTTCAGAAAGCTCAGGAGTCACCACCAGTTTAATCTAATTATGCTGTGACATGCTAGGCCTTGTTTCCAAGGGTCTTTCCCAAAGATAAATTTAATTTCAGAGATCCAGGACAGAATATATGTTTTCCCTAAAAGGTAAGAAACTAATTCCACTGGAAATGGGACTGGTACTCCTTTGGCAAACACAGCATGGAAAAGTTGGGTTAACTATCAGTTCTGAGCTTGATCTTGATCTTCCTTGATGTTTTAATGGAGTACTGAAGCTAGGTAGCCCACTTAACCATTGTTACACCCTACTAAACCTATTGACTTCAGTGACCTTAGATGAGCATAACTCTGTTTAGGATTGTACCGTAGATCAACTTTGCAACTAAATGCGAAGTGGTGGCTGCAGCCCATTTTTACTAGCATACCTTGCTGTGTACACCTATGACAGCTGTTTTCTAATCTAGAAATATTTCCCTCTGTGGTTGCTTGCAAGGGAATCTTACTCTTTCTTTACTTCAGCCAGTGTGGCATTGCAGTTAGTGTGTCAGACTGGGATCTGGAAGATCTCAGTTTGGTTCCCTACTTTGCCAGGGAAGCTTGCTGGGTGACTGTGGTCCAGTCACACACTCTCAGCCTAATCTACCTCACGGGGTTGGGATAAAATGGAGGAGACAGGAATGATGTAAGTCACTTTGGGCCACCACCCGGGAGAAGGACGGAGGTATAAAAGGAAGATAATAAATAAAATACTTTTATAGCCTGCCTTTCTCTCTTAGACTCAAGATGGATTACAAAGCATTTTTAAAAAATTCGACAGCATGAGCAATCCAATAAAATATGCAGTAGAGAGGATGACAGAATTAGAAAACACTGCAATCAGAACGCTGTCTAAGGTGTGACATCTAGTGTAAAAAGTAGATTACAAAGTTATAAGACAATGCAGTAAAAGTACGGTGTTAACATACAATAAACTTTGTGATAGACTGCAATCCT